GCCTATCTTACATGTTTTTCATTAGTTGTGCGTGGATTCCCTGCAAAGCTAAATCCTCCTATTCAAGTCATATCTTTTTTCATCCAAAAAGAGCGAAGAGTTTGCTGTGACATACCCACCTTTACACACAACCCCAAAACTGCTGGGGCTACAGCTGGCTTCTGAAATGGTGCCTTGGAGCATCTGTAAATGCTCAATGTATGTTCCACTTTTGAGCACTCAGTATGAATGCACGTGTAACCTGTGAGTCTTCAGTTTTAGTTAATATTTCACCCGTAGCATCAGCGCCGGTCTAATCTCTTTCTCTGCCTCTCTTGGTGCCTTTGTAGAGGGATTAAAGCAACACAAAACAGCATGAAGGAGGCCATGTTGAAATACTAATTGTACGTTTTGTTTGTGTCTTTGAGATCGCTGAGTCTGAATCCAGTGGGAGGAATACTGTGGGTGGGAGGTGTTTACTGTATTTGTTTACATGTGATTTTCCTGCCCGTTTCGCCCGTCGCCCGGCACATGTTGAATTGATCGGCTCTCCTTTTTACACACAGCATGTTGCTCTTTTTTTCCCTCTTCCCTCCCTGCTCTCACTTCTTCATTCCGTCTTGTTGTTGCCAAGCTGCCTCCCTATCTCTACGTTTTTTTTCCTCTCCTTTTTATTATTTATTTTTGTTCATTTTTACCTGCTTGTCATACCGGATGGGTATTTCTACCTTCCTGTGCCTCTCAGTCTCTAGCTGTGCTAATTTCTCTCTCTGGCTGTCACCGATTTTGCAGCTCTTGCTGTCTCTGCATCTCTCTCCCTCTCTTTATGCATGTCTCTTTCTGGTTCCTTCATACTTTTACTCCCTTGTTATACTGCACTCTCTGCTGTCACTGCCTCTCAGGACCTCATTTTAACACTCCCCCCTCAGTGCTTCCATCTCCTCTCTCCTTCTCCATCCCTTCTCTTTCTCCTCATTCCTGGGTCCTTGCCTTCGATTTCTTTCTTCTTGCATCTTTTACCGTATCCATTCCTCTCCCTGCCTCTCTGCTTCTCTTCAAAGGAGCTCATAGCAGGTTTGGAAAATCCTGCTCTACACACCACCTGCGGATTGTTTTTAACGAATCCTACAAACCCAAGGCTGAGAACTGACACAGTGATGAATTCACACACACTCTCTCTGCGTGCACACACACTTGTATGCGTGGCTACCTGACTCCACGAACACACACACACACACACACACACCCACACACACACACACACACACACACACACACTAATAGCTGTGCACTCCGAAACTCACCAGTAAAAACAGACAAAACCAATAACGGCTTTTGAATACAAATAGCAATGTTTTGCCAAATCACTGTTATTTTGCGCAGATTGTTTCTTGTCTCTGAATACAAGGTATCTCCCAAATGGAAACATTTCAGACACATTTTTGATGAATTTTATAGGCATATGAGTTTGATGACTTTTCTTCAAGTTAAAGTTATCTGCAAAATTTAAAACTGACAAATTTTGAAGGCACTGTTATTGTACAGCGGTGACATGCAGTGTCAACAATGTCTATAAGACAGTAAACTGACTCCATCTCTTCAATAAAAGGACTGAATGTAGTGCTGAAAGGATTTTTGAGTTTTAAAGTCTCGCTCCACTTGAAAATGTGTTTGTTTATTGTTACTTCACGTTTGACCTTCACTGTGCAGAATGCTGTTTGTGCATAGATGTTTTCACATTCATCTGCTGAAGGGGGAAAGTTTCTCTGAGCTCACCTCAGATCTGAGTGATCACAGTCCTATATGCAGTGCGAGGCGGTGACTTGAAGCCTCCAGCGTACAATGAGAATGGACTCTTTAGTGGTGCAGACATTATGTGCCCAGCAGTTAAACTTTTGCAATGAACAATATTTGCATATTCATAGATTCGGGATTCTTAAATGAAGGAGAGTAGATGAAGACCTCAGTAAAGAACCTCATTAAGGAACTTTTTATGAGGTAGTTGACCTTTTTTTGGAATTACCATATCAGACACAAATTATTGTAAAAAGCAGAGTATCTTTATGTGACTTAAAACATGTCTGGAGGGAATTTTAAGTAATCGCCTCATCAATTAAGTCATTGAAAACAGCAAACATTTACTGGTTCCAGCATCTCAGATGTAAAGGTTTTCTGTTTTTTTTCTCATTGTAAATTAAATTTTGTAGGGTTTTTGTTTGACAAAACAAGGAATAGGAAGACACCACCCTGGTCTATGGGTAATGTTATGGTCATTTTTCAGTATTTTCCTAAGATCTTTTATTCCTGGGATTACAAACCTCCAACATATCATATTATAATAAAAATAACACATTAAACTGAAGTGATAAAGGTGGTGATATTTTATGTTTTTCTTATTGTCAACAATACTTTCAGACCTCCCTGCCCTGCCTGTTGCCCCAAGCCCGTTTGTCAGTTGTTGGTCTTTATATAGACCGAGTTAACATGATGTTGCGGTAGCACTTCCAGGTAGACAGATGGCGATATGTGAAACCAGCAAAATTGCTTATTTCTATTGTCAGTTTCAGCCGTAACTGTAATGTTTGAAGATACTGAGTTAAAAACAGTGGTCCACCCTTTCTAGCATTTCTGCTGTGCTTATCTTATGTACTGTGTTGCTTTGCTAGCATCTTTGATTATCCGAATGTGCCAGCATGAAAGTCAACAGTTTAAGTGTTATATTTGGAGTATTGTTACTGCTTTACCTTACACATTAACAGATCAAGACAGCAGTAGACCAGCAACTCCTGTGTTTTGAAAAGTAAAATGACTGTTTTTGTCAATGGAGTCTGGTGACTTTGAAAGGGAAAGGGCTGTCTGACGGCAGGTAAAGTGGTAAAAAATACTCCAAATATAATGTACACTTAAAATGATATTCATTTTTGAAAGGTGGGCCTTTTCCTCGGTGGCTAAAACTAACCCATTGAGACATTGTTCACTCAGCGCCGTCTGTTTTTATGTATGTGATGCAGGGGTTTTCTACCTGGACGTTATTGTAAACAAACATTCGGTGTATGCAAGCATACAAACACGTGTGAACACACTCTCTGTTCTTGCATTTGAATGCATTTAACAAAGAAACAAGAAGGTATATTGTCTTAATCTCACAAGGGGAAATTCAAGCACACAACCTCACAATCATAAACACACAGGCCCAAATACACACATGCACAAATAAGACCTGTACACATGCATAATGTAAGGAGAGATGTCTCACAGGATTGCACCCTGAGCAGTTAAGGGGTCAGTGCCATGCCTTAACAGTACCTCAGCAGTGCCCAGGAGCCAAACTGGGACCTTTCCAATTACCACTTAGTCCGCACAGGGTCTTGAATCGGTGACCGTTAGGCTCCCAAGCCAAGTCCCCACCACTAGTACCGCCTCAATCTGTGTAGTTCATATTACACAGGTTTCACAACGACCACGTAAGTACAACCTCTCATCACTGGCATCCCATGGATCAGAGAGATGGCTGACAGCATTAATAGATATGCACGCATGTTTTTATTGAAGTGTCTCAGGCACTTCTGTAGGGCTTATTTGAAATGAAAGCATCATATCTCAGACATGCCCGTCTCCCCATTAAGTCTACATTACATTTGAGCACAGAGACTCCCATCCTCCTGAGACAGGCACGTATGAACTGTTACAAGCCACACTGGTAATGAGTGGGTGTCAGCACTCTTCGCCCCTCCGCCGTGCACACGCATCTTCAGAAGAATGTGATTATTGAAGATGACAGGCGGCTTCGGGAGTGTTTGAAATTGAAATCATCTAGTATTACACTAAAGGAAACTGTTAGCCAGCTGAACTCAGGATGGAAAGGCGGCGCCTCATTGATCCCTCTGTACATGCAAATGCTCCACAGAGAAAAACCTTTGCTGAGAGGCAGCAGTCAAAACACCTCAACACTGGTCAAAACATTCTTGTTGCAAATAACATTCAGCTCAGCTGCTGCAAACATTTGCATCTGGATGCGTCACGCTTCGATTGAGTTTTGTGCGAATGCTTCATTGTGTTTGCTGTAAACAGATGGAAATATTGATAAAAAAAAGGAAGGCTGGTTCACAGTGAATTGAGCAGGAAATTCATTTGTCAGAAACCCATCAAACACTCTCATCTGATGGGAGCCAAATAAGGACAAAAAGGTGAGATGAATATAGATCACCTGTTTTAGAAAGCCGTACTGAAAAAGCTGCTGAGAGATGAATCATGTCAAATCGTATAGGCTTATACAGTGTCTTTGTGTACATCCAGGTAATTCCAGGTTAATGGGCTTAGGCAACATGTTGTTCGATATGCTTTGACTCATACTGTGGGCAAAACAAAACTCCTCTCCTTAAAACCTGCCCACATTACCTGTGTCATTGCCTTTCCTCCTCCTCATCAGCTGTTCTTCCTCTCCTCTCCTCTCCTCTCCTCTCCTGCCTAACTTCCTTTTACCTCTACAAACCGACGCCTTTTTACATGTGCTCCCTTACCCCTGGAGCATGCGAGCTGACTGTAGCAGTGAGAATTTCCACTCCTCTCTCACAGAGCTGTTTGTTCCCTGCACTCGCCCGCTCGAAGCTGCTCCAGGCCGCTCCGTGCTCAACTCAGATTTCACCCCGTTCACCACTCACTCAGTTTCCTTTGAAAACATTTTGTAAACTCCACTGTCAAACTCACAGCAGCAGATTTTTGACAGAAAATATTGTGTGTGCAACACATAGATGCATTCTGGGTCGAGCATGCTCCGAATTCTTGGTGTGAGTGGTACTGCAGCAAAATCGGAGCAGGATGGAGCGGGAGATAAGGCGACTCTCCAACTTTTTAAAAAAAAATCCGTGCTGTGATCCATCCGATATCCTTCCCCTTAGACTCTGCCTACATACTCTGCTTCCCCCTCCCTCATATAACTGTTTGCTTTCCTCTTCCTCCTCCCCTCTGTCATGCTCTTTTTGTTTCTGTCCACCCCTCTGTCTCTGTCATCTTTCCCTCACCTTATTGAGCGTGATGACCGCCTCTTGGTTCACTCCAGTGATGTTGAATGTTTCCCCAGTCTCCCCCTCCAGGATAGTATATTCCAGCTTGGCGTTCTCACCAAGGTCAGCGTCGGCTGCGGAGATACGCCCTATCTCAGCCCCAGGGATGGCCAGCTCGGAAACGGAGAAGGACCACATACCTGGGAGAGAGACATACGATGACACACATTAGGGAAGCCTTTACACTTCATTGAGACATTAAACATTTCATTTTGTCGTTTGAACCATTTTCAAATTGCCTTCCCCCACCTGTGCTGAGCCAATATTTGCAATATTTCATTGAGATAAGGCTGCATTTAATTTAACAGAACTAAGGATGAAGGAGAGGGATAAAAGAAGAGAAAGGCAGAGTATGCGTTTGAGCGCCCGGCATTGAGATGTTATTAAAAGCCAGGTAAAATATGGCCAGAAAACCTGCTGTAAAAATAACTAAATTAAAAGAAGCTAGGATTAAAAAGAAAAAAACCCCCAGAAGGAACAGAGGAGATAAAGAAAAAGCAAAGATTACAGGTAAGAATAGCTGCTCTGTCTCCTTCAAAACATTTGAACTTGATGACATGCACTAACTAGTCAACACCAACATCCACTTTTAAGTTTCTGAGTCATCCAGTACTTCCCGCTAACAAGAATTAATCAAGATAACAGGCTCTTTCATGTATCCTGCCAACATGTTTAAACATGCTGGTTTTACTTTTAGTGCCGGGCCCATTAAAGCAGCTCATTATTAGTCCTTCTGCTGGCTTGGCAGTTTACATAGGCACACACAGTACATTTCTCTTATGATTCACCCAATGCACCTTTCTGATGAAAATATGGAGTACATCTGTGAACTTGCATTACTGCATAAAAAGCACACGTGCACACATAAATTCAAATATCCACTTTATTTCAACCTAACACACACACAAACACACACACACAATGGCCACCAGCTGCACTGACAAGAATAAGTGTGGTAGGTAAGATAGAAATTGAGCGAGGGGAAAAGGTAAGATATCACTATTTGGCTCACACACACAGAACAGACAGGCTCATTCAAACAGAGCCGTTATCTGCTCAGCTAAAGCTAAGGGAATCAGATAGACCTGTAAATGTTAGAGAGAACAACATCGCACAAACACATTGGGTTGACAGAATAAAAGATAGCCGGCACTTCAACACGACAGTATCTGGGCCAACACACAGTCAGATGAATTCCGCAAATCTGACAACATCACAGCGAGACTAAATGGGAGGTTATTTCTACTTTGAGGATCAGGATTACAGTTCAGACATCACAGTGGCATCGGCAACCAAAGTTATCACCCAGCGTGTTTGATTGTTGTCTGTCCTAATTAATTTCTTTTTAAAATGCATAGGGGATTCTCACTTCCACAAGTCCTCCAACCTGAACGACAAAAAAATCAATTTTCTGGTGTTTCTGATCTGTCGCCTGCAGTTTTGTTGAGCAATTAAAACCAAAGTTGTAGCTTGGATTTTAGAAATACTAGGGTTGTGAATCCATGTCCTCCCAATGCCATGCCAAATCCCTGGACACACACAAAAATTCAAAACTATTTGGATTTGTATGTTCTATTTATTCAGTTTATGGCATTTTCTGCACATTTTATTTATGAATTTCTTAAAGATTTCCCCACACTACTCTCTGGTGGAGAAATAATGAATTATTTATTTTTTTCTATACTGAGCCTAAAAGTCAGTAGAACAAATACACACCGTGTAATGCTGTGTTCACATGGAATCAGGGAGACGGCATATGGAAAACTGGATATCATTTTAGTGGACAACATCAGGACAGTAAAATTAGGTAAAGATATCGGCAACGGTAACAGCATTAAAGTCAAAATATTTTGACTTTGTGCCATTCTCCTTGACCGAATTTAAAATCAGATCTTGTGTAGCTCCTTCACACAGGGTATAAACACAGGTGATCTGGACAATTACTGGACATTACTAGAAAAATTACATAACATAATAAACATGAAATAATTTCAAGAATGCAGCATCACCATCACAACTTCTTGTCATGCATGTTTTGTTTTAACGTCCTGTCATTGCATTGGACTGTTTGTTTTCAGGGTGTTGTCTGTCTGCCATTTATTGACTGCCTCATGCCATGTGAATGCAATATAAGTCTTACTTACTCCAGTGGCTAAATCCTCAGATAAACTACGGAGGACATGACCTCACGGTTCTCTGTGGGAGCTACGGCCCTGAAAACTGCTTGGTGAAGATCAGAGAACAGTCATGGTCATGGTTAAAGGTCCAGTGTGTAGGATTAAGGAGCACCTATTGGCAGAAATGGTGTGTAATGTTCATAACTATGTTTTCATTAGTTTATAATGACCAAAAAAATAACAATCATGTTTTTGTTACCTCAGAATGAGCTGTTTATAGAGTGCCCCAGGAATGAGTCCTAAAACCAAAACTGAGTTAGCATCTTAGCACTCCCAGCTCCCTCGTCTCAAAGTCAGTGGGTTTTTTGAATGGGTTTTTGGACAGATGTGGTTAACAAAAGCTTAAGAGACTTCCACATTTTGTTCTTCAACATAAAAAACATCAGTTAATACCCCACTTGTAGCTTGTAGCTAAGGGAGCACTTTGTAGCTTTCATGTTTCTTTAAAAAGGTGGCTGCTAATAAGTGGATAAATGAGACTATAGAACATGGAACATGACTTTACAGCCTCGTTGTGGTGATGACGTTGAAATCATGCAAAGTTGGTGTAGTTCGTTTATAGCCTAACGTTAGTTTTTTTTTTTTTTTACCCGGCCGATTGTATTTAGGCTTCAAAAATCATTAAAGTCTATAATACAAAATAGACTGGAAAAATCCCATTGGCTTTTTGATGAGGGAACCAGGCCAATGTTCTTCTGTGTCAGCCTACAGAAAAATGTTCTCCCTGGAAAACTCTATATATAGGTAAGGAATGGGCCTTCTTCCAGAGTCCGCCATGTTATTCTTCAGTAGCCCACAACAGACAAACCAAATACTGGCTCAAGATAAGGCCATTTCTGTTTTTCAACCATCGTAGATCTGCTACTTGTTTGGCACATGAGAGAAGTTTAGTTCTGCAACCTCAGCGCTAGATTCCACCAAATCCTTCCCACTGGACCTTTAAACAAATTAGGAAATGGGACGCAAACAGCAGTCTCCAGTGTCAAAGTCAAGCCGTCCATATCACATGCATCTAAACAGATACACCTCTGTTTTAATCAATACAGCACAAAAAATGATGTTTCATTGGAATTTTACATCCATAACCATGACCCAAAGCACATTTAAAAATGTAAGTCTATTTTCATGTGTATTACGTGAACAATATCAGCACCTGTGACCTCTAAGTGCTGCCAAAACACAGGTGACCTACTCTCAGTACTGTGCCTGAACACATCCAGTGTATACAGTGACAAAGCAAAGCTGCTGCTCTGCTTATATAAACCTTTCAATACACCACCTGTGTAGACAGGCTGTGAGGTTTGAAGCTATACAACAGTATCAAGCTATTTACATGGCTAAAGGATGCCACAAAGGTTAGGTCAGTCTTTTTGAGTGTTTGACTAAAAGACCAATGCTGTTGTTTTTCTGGTGAGGACGGTATTCATGAACTTGGCAGTTTTACACAAGCTTTCTTCTTATCATTTTGGGCAAATCCCCTGTGGTTTTTATGACTGTTAAAGGATAAAATACCTGTTAGATAACCACTTTTTAGAACATTACATGTTGAGTTAACTAGGGCCTTTGAGTATTAGAACCTGTTGCATGGCGTTGCATACCATGAAATTGACAGCTGTAAGAGAAATCCCATTTAACAACTGGTTCTTATTCCTCCTATATTGATCTCTCATTCATTTGTCTCTTGTGTTGGAGTTGCTTCCAGTTATTGACTCTAATGTCTGTACGGAACAGACTCTGTTTTTCTGCAGGAACTGAACATCACTTCAAAGTCCCACTGACGAAACAAAGTGTCACCCTGGCAATAAGGACATCCATCTGTGAGATAAGTACTAAATACTGAGCAGGATCAGGACAAAGAGATGCTCTCCTTTTTAATTATTATTACTACATGTCAAAGATCGAACACTGTGGGGTAAAAATAAATCAGAAAATCAGTAACCCTGTCATTCCCTAGTTGACAAACAGTTATCAAATTAAGATGTTGCTGTGGTAATAGACTCAGTATATTTGCATGGACAACTCTCTAAACATACAACAGCCAAGATGGATTTGATGGGATTAGAACAAATTCCCTCTTGATCAAGATGAAACCACAGTGAATCTAAGAGTTTCTTCCTTCTTTAGTAAGCTGCCTTGTATACTAACTAGTGCAGTGCCTGTTCAAAACGTGCTTGTTCAGAATGGGCTGACTGCTGGACCTCTGGCTCCAGGGGGGCCTGGCCCGCCCCCATAGTCCACAGCCGATTGTCTTATTTACTGGGAAGGCAGAACAATGTTTAGGCCTGGATACTGGCCTATTGCCAGGTCTTTTTGTACTGCAAACAATATTTAAAGTTGCTGTATGTAACTCTGGAGAAACATAGTTGATTGTTGAGTCTAGTTTCTAAGTCATCGAACCAAACCACCAACCCAAAGCATCTGCATTTGATGACATTGGAATGAGACTCAACAATAAACTATCATTCTCTAGAGTCACATACAGCACTTTTAATGTGAATATAAATTGTGAGCAAAAGCACACAGAGCTTTGCCAAATTGGCAACTTTCTCGCTGGACTTACTGACTTTCAGACCCTTTTGGCAACTTGCTCAAGTAAAATCAGAGTAAAGTCAGTCAGCGGCTCCTCTGCCCAGGCCACTAATGTTTTTAGACTTTGATATTTGATTTAATTTAGGTTGTGATTTCAGGTAACCAAAATTTAATGTCAGGACACATCTAATGCCAACGTCAATCTGATGTAGAATACTAACAATAAATGATGGTGAAATTTTGTTGGTTTAAAATTGTATTGTTAATTAAGTAACCAAAATCCAGAGTCTTCCATATGTCTCATGCCAACATCATCTTGACATAGAATAATGACATTTAGTCATAAGGCATAGAGAACAAAACCCACCATCTGTAAAATGTCATAATGTTAAGATCCAAAATACATAAACTTCTAACGTCATTAAACATTTAAA